AGTTCAACGCAGATTCGGAATAAGAACCTTCTTGCTTTCAAACCTCTCTTATTTTCGTTTTTATTCTAAGTGTTTTAGTCATCTTAATCTTTGTTGTGCGGTTCTCGCAGATAGCCGGTTCCTCTGGAAACTTAGGGTTTTCCCGAAGTTTCCTTATTTACGATTTATTTGACAGTAGGGTGAAATCGACTCCCACAGTAGCCTCTAACGCCCTCCCAACAGGAGCCAACTTACAAACTAGAGGACTCCTCAGCAATACTATGTGTGATCTTTGTGGTGCTTTTGAAACAATTGATCACATCTTTATTCACTGCGCCTTTGCGCAAGAAGTCTGGAAGTTGGGTCCTTGGGGAGATGATATTAGCATCAACGATGGGTCTACCTTCAGAATGATGATCCAGGAAGCAGCTACATGGAAGATCCTCCCGCCCTTTGGTATCACAGGTAACGCTTTTCCCTGGCTCTGCTGGATGATATGGACCTCACGGAATCTTAGGATCTTCGAGAACAGGAGACTCACACCACAGGAGACAGTGACAAAACCCATTACTTCTCAAAAGGAATGGGAACTAGCACAGACACATAGACCGACTCAGACCCAACCACCAAATCCACTAAGCAACCATCCCAATAAACACCTCCACCATCTTCTGCAATCCGGATGCAGCGTGGAGATCGGAAAGCAGAACCGCAGGATTGGGATGGATATTCACTGATCAAAACCTACAAGAACTCCACAGAGACTCCTCCCCCCAGAGCAACGTTTCATCTCCTTGTATGGCAGAGGCGCTGGCCATTAGAGAAGCCCTTCTTCAAGCGTCGTCCCTCCGTTACACAGACATATGTCTTCGCACAGATTCGCAAGTGCTCGTCAGAGCGATCACATCGAGAAGAAGATCGACGGATCTCTACGGGATCCTATCGGACATCGACTCCTTGGCCTTCTCCACCGATTCTCCTTTCATCTCCTGCACTTTCGTTTTATCCCGCGGGCCTCTAATGGGCCGGCTGATTTCCTAGCAAAATCGTGTTTGTCTTCCTATTTGGGCCCGAGGCCATCAACTTTTTATCTTAAAAGTCTTAATGAAATATCCTGTTGATAAAAAAAAGGAGAGCATTGTTGGTTTATATGATTTAAATAACAAGTTTTCGTGATGGTTTGTTTAAAAAGTTTGTTATTAGTTTGATATTTATTTTTATTAATAATGTGTTTTAATGTACTGGTTTTTGAAAATAATATTATTTTAAGTATGTATCAATTTTTGATTCAATTTAAATTAGTTGGTATTTAAAATCAATAATTCTAAACTCAAAACAAAGTTTAAATGGGTTGTAAATTTTACTATTCGTTATACCAAACCTAAAATAATATAAAAAAGTATTTAAATGATAATTAAGTTTGATTAGCTTTTATCCTTCTTGTATGATTTCATTAAATAAACAAAAAAAACTGTGAGGTTTTTATTACTAGAGGCATAGCCTCCGCGCAAGCGCGGGGTTTGGTACATTTTTGTTTTTAGTGCATTGTGTAACTGTGTACAATGTATTTTGCCGTTTTTTATTATTTTTAACTTTTTCATATTGTTTATAATGGTGATGAATAGACCAATGGAAATCATACAACTTGATTAGGCTGATATAACAATGGCTGGCGAATTCACATATATTGATATTTTCATATTTTGTTTTCGCAATGATTTGGTTTTTCAAAAGCTGAAGTTTATGGGGTTGGTTAGTGTTTACTTAGGTACAATAGAAGTTCTATAAATTAATAATGTTGGGATTTTAAAGTTTTATTACTTATATAAAGACATTAATTTATAAAAAAAAAATCTTATTTTAAGATATATTTATTCTTAGATAAGAAAAATATTTTATTTTATTGTACCGGCAATAATAATTACATTTTCAAATTTTATATTTTTATTAATTTTATTATATTATTTGATGTATATAATATTGCATAAATTTTAAATGTGGTTTTAGATAAATATTTTTAAATCTCATAAAAATATATTAAGTGTTGAAAGTACAAATATAATTCTACTATGAATATAAAAAATAATATAAGGATAGATTCTTACTTACATAAAACATGTATACATACATGTATAAGTCTTCAGAGCACATGCCTATTATAGATTTGATGAAGCTTATTGTATATTTTTATTAAAAATATATATTTTATTATTTATTCGTTTTCTTTTATTTTATTTAAAATAAATGACTGTACATATATAACATGTTAAAACAAATTTTTTTATAACTTTAGATTAACAATATTTATTCACCAAGATTATTTATCATACATCAAAACAAACTTTGAAGATATGAAAATCAAATATTTATCTACAATTAATTTGTTTATAATATAAAATGACAATACTATTTAGATTTTTCTAAATTAATTTGTGTAAACTTAAATTATTTAGAGCTAAAATCTCTATATATATAAGTTGATTGAGAGCCAACGCTAGCATTTGCAGACTTATTCATCTATGTTGGTTACAGTGTTCCTCTTTTTCTTCAACTATAACAACTAACGACTTTGAATGTCAAAGCTTACTGAGACCATTGTACTTCTGGTAATTACATAGTTTTGGAAATGTTATAAATTAATCGTTTGAAAACGTATGGATATGTTTGCTGACGTTGATCGATTGCGTCCAATAGTTAAATACTGACACAACACCAATTATTTAGCTTCCAAGATTATTCTACAAATTTCGAACCCACTCTAAAAGAAATAAAAAAATCTCCATCTCTCATATACCAATTTTCAAGCATAACAAAATATGGAGCATGAGAGATCACTGTGTTTATCAAACAGAGACTAAATCTATACCACGTTACTATCTCATAAAGAAAAAGAAAGAAAAAATATATGATTTACATCAATCTCAAGCTTCCAAGATTACTCTACAGCTAATACTATTCCGAAAGAGTAATAATCTTTGTCTATCATTCACTACATAATATCAAAAAAAACATTAACGGATCTTAAAAACTTAAGTTCCACCACTCATACCTGATATCAAAATCAAGCAGCTGCATAAGAAATCATCCCAGCTTTCCTAGCATAAGCAAAAATCCCACGCATCAATAACAGGCCCAGTGTCACCAGTAGCCTTAAGCTTATACTCTTTCTCCGTAGTATGATTAACCAAAACACGATCCTCTTCCCTCAACTCCACTATCGCGACATCCCCCATCCTAGACTCATCACAAACCCTAACCTCTGAATCCAGCGGATAAATATCCCCAGTCACCACTGAGTTACTAAAAAATATCCTCGCCTCACTTTGCGCCACCACCGCCTTCACCCCTACCGCTCCCAAACACACCGGCACGATCCTTGACGCTATGCAAGCTATCATTCAACTTGTTTTCAAGCGAAATAAGATCCAAAAAAATCATGAGGTCAAGCTCCGTACCTTTGAGTCTCCTAAAAACAATGAACCAAAAATTGAAAGACCGAAGCTTTAACACAAGATCAAACACAAGTTTCTTACTCAACTGCAAGCTGTAATCTCTCAAGTTCTCTCCTCAAAGATTCATTTGTCCGCACTGTAACAACTGAGTCCATGTGAGTAAAAGGGATAAGAAACGTTTATGGTAGAAAAGATCACTGCTTGTAGATAATAGATACACATACCACATCATCATTATTCTGAGTAGAATAAAGTATAATTCAGCCGTAGCAGCACTATATCCATCGTTCATATTTATGATTTGTGACGAAGGAAATGGAGACGTCGACATGGAATCTGGATTCAATGTGAATAACAATTATGGCAGAACTAAAACAAATACATTGAACCATAGGGAAGGTGAAGAGATAACGAAAGAGAGGCGAAGAGATGAGTGTATGAAAAATGGAGACAGCGAGCTTAAATTTTGAAAGAGAGGATAAGATGGAAACCCTTAGAGAGTGATGATTAATTGCAAAGTGACCCACATTATTTATACAATGTATATGGATATTACGAAGCCCGCTAAAGAATAGAACATAAATCAAACAGAAACCCACTTGAGATAGAAAAATAAAATAAAAAATAAGTGAGACCCATATAGCTGGTGACGTGAACCCCCTAAATACTAGTTTCAAGAAAGAAATAAAGACTTGTCTTATAAAGATATAACATGTAAGTTGTCGGATTCGAACCCACGCCCTTGCAAACCAGACACTAAACCTTAGACCACTCGACCAAACTGTAATTCATTGTTCGTAGACATTTTAGCAAGACTAGCGGGACCCACAAAACTGCTGACGTGGTTCACTGAGGAGCTTAGAAACTACACTATTATGTATAAGATTTTAAATTCGTTAGTCACAAAACATGAATAAATACAAACCTTTTAAAAAATTCTACTGATTTCATAGTCTAAAATTGATTGAAATAACTACACAATTTATATTCATATATAAGTGTAAAAATTAATTAACTTAAAAATTATACGAAAACATGGGCTTGGCCCGGAAAATCTCTAGTTCAACTAAAAAGAAAATGTTAGGATAGCAAGTAAAATGTTAGGAAGGGCTTTCTAAAAATTTAATATTTCACTAAAATAAGAAAATGTTAGGATAGCGAGTAAATCATTTAGGAAGAGCTTTTTGAAAGTTAATATTTAATTAAAATGGAAAAATGTTAGAATAGCAAGTTAAAATTTATATACTAACAAAACTAACATATATATCATATTTAGGATAACAGGTAACATATTCAAGAAGAGCTTCCTGAAAATTTAATATCTAACTAGATTTTGACTTTTCCTTCAAAGGGTGGGTATATTTTTTGTTAAATTTTTGTAATGTACAAATTTTAATTTTCATTTTTGTGTTTTTTGATAATTATTTTTATGTTTATCTTTGTAATTCTGTTTGTGTACAATATTTAAAAAAAACAAAATATCAGGAAGAAGTTTTTAAAATTGTATTAAATTTGTGATGTTGCATAATGGTTCTGCAACACATTTATTTTGAACTTTATTTCATAATGGTTATTTAAAAAAAAAGTATAGTTAAAATTTTATTTAGTAATCAGATAGTAATTAAATATATGTAATTATATTTTTCATTAAATTTTAATGATTTGATTTTATATATAATGATATATTAAATGTTTTTGATACACATAATAATTTGTCATGCAATTTAAAATGTGTTTGTAGATTTTAACTTAATGTAAATGTAAAGACCAACTTTAGTTTTTAAAGCCCTGTTCTATTTATTTAAAAGTTATGACTAATAGCTCAAATGGTAAATGAAATTCTAAAATGAAAAGGACTGAAAGTTTGAGCTGCCAACTAATTTCTCAAAAAAATCAGGAAAATATATCTTTGCTTCTCTCACTATTTCCATCCAAAGGTCATTGTCTCAAAGAAAGTAAAATAAAAAATAAAACAAAATATATATATATATATATATATATATATATATATATATATTCGTACATTTTTGTTGCAATATTCCTATCCTTAAAAAATAGGATTTTAGTGGTTATAAAAGGTTGATTACAGACTAAGTTATGCAGTTTTTCGGTTGCAGTTAAATTATATTTAGATGTTGTTCTTTTTTGTTGGACTACATATATATCAACAGATCATGATCCAGTTTTAATAGAATAGATTAAAAAATATTAAGATAGCAAATAACATATTTAGGAAGGTCTTCTAGATTAAGTAGGCGTCTCAATCAACCCGGTAAACTTATTTTCTTCTCACTTGATTGTCAAGCAACCTCATCATCTCCAGCATTTCAGTTTTGATTTTCCTACTGAATAATCAAGGAGGAAAGAGTTGGTTACACCAGAACATAACCGAGAGTGAAACTTTAGAAATTGGAGTCCGGAAATGAAGCGGGTATATCTTTTTGAGCAGGAAATGAAGCTATTGGCAGAAAATGCGAAAGTGAACATAAGGGTATATACAGATGGGACCATGAGACTTACGCAGGCCATTCATGGACCCATCAGAGCCGGCCTTGGGAACAAGCGAAAAAAGCACCTGTTTGCGGCCGCCATTATTTTAAGTACTTAACCGGCCGCAATTTTATAAAAGTTGTCACTAGTCTAGTGGTTAGTTATACTCTATACTACCATCAGGTCGTAGGTTCAATGCCTCCCTCAAATACAATTATTTTTTTCAGCCATTTTTTTTAATTGGGCTTGTGGCCTTAACGGGCCTAGGACCGGCTCTGGGACCATGCACGCACAAGAAACATGATATTGTGCTCGAGACCAGATAGAAAACAAAGCCGTAAGATTCAAATACGGAAAATTATCATTGCCTGATATTTATGCAGTTATTAATATATTAAGTGTAATGCGATATTAAAAATTAAACAAAACTATCACGAAAATTATCATTGCCTGCTTATATATTCGACACTGAAGATTGATCTAATAATATAATACATTGAAGTACAAAGTTACATAATAAAATTAAAGACTTAAGGTGAAGACGAAACCTTACTATTTCAGATGCTTTAAAATCGTGAAAAGATTTAGTTACTATGTTATCACGCAACGAAATGATAATCTATAAAAATAAAGTTATAGCAATGTATAATACAGTTTAGACGTGCTATTTCTGCGTATTTACGAAAGAAGCAATCACATCAATTACGCTATCTTGAATCTAATCAGATTACCAGCAAAAATGAGCTTAAAGGACAACGGGAACAAATTAATGCATAGTTCAAAGTGTAGATGATTCACCACTGCTTATATAAAACTGCTATTTGGTAACAGGCAATCCCGAGTTGAAAACTAACACAGAAAGGAACATGTTCAACTTCTGTGTCACAACAGTCTAACAAAACAATAGCTAAACCCTTTTCCTTTTCCACAATGACAAACTTGAAGCCAGACAAGCGATGCAAAACCAAAACGCCTACAAGTCCTAAGAGAAAATTTTAGCCGCATCATTCAAAATATTCACAGCTAAATCCCAAAAGAAGTCTTTGCTCTACTCAACCACTCTGGGAATGCAAGAAGTCGAATTGAATGCAACGAGTGGGGTAACCAAGTTTAACAGAGGAGTTAAGGAGATTCAGACGAAACGGTGTAACGTTTTCGTCTTAGCTCTTTCATGGTTTCTACTGTACAAAATTTTGGCGGCCAATGAAGGATGAAACCCTAGACGACACAAGAAGGAACAGTCTAAGCAGGCCTCAAATTTTGCAAAACCCACCCAGAATTAAAATTTAAAAAACCCACGAAAGCCTATGATTAAGGGTAGACAAGTGTCATTATTTCCCCAACGAGAAAAATAAGTCTCATTTATTGTATAAGATATGTATTTTGAGAATACTTCCACTCACACTGAGGATGCTCTTAGATGTAGTATCAAGCGGTTAAAAGATTATACCTCAGATTCAAAATTTGACTTGATTCACGTTTCGGAAGCGCAACTTGTTTTAGATTATAAATTTGATTTGAAATAGTATTTTTTTGATTGTCCTAAATGATTATCTGGGTATTTTATTTGGATCCAAAACTCAACCGAAAGTGATCTAAAAAATACAGATTCGAGTTTGGTCAGAGTATCACTCAGGTACTTTTTGAGCCTGCAAGTGTATATCGCGTTCAGGTCCTACCCAAGAGCTGATTTAGTATCAAAAATATCTAAAATATTTTGTGTATATTATGTATATTTGGGTATTTCAAATAGGTTTTTTGTATTACAGATAAAAAAAAATTTCAAGTTTGAGTTTTTGGTTACTTTCGGTTTCATGTACAATTTCAAAATTTTAAAATTATATTTTGGGTATACAAATAAATTTATAGGTACTTTTTGGTTCTTCGGGTCAGATTTCAAGTTAATTTTTGGGTCTTTTTGGATATTTGGATATTTTTGGCTATTTGTTTGAGTTTTGAGTATGTTTTCATCTCGATTATTTTATAATATTTGAATACTTTTTTAGTTTTTGGGTATTTTAATTTTTTGGGTCTTAAATATCTGATCCAACTTCGTTATGTACCGAAAATTTTTAGGTATTTTACAAGTATTAAATTACGTATCCAGACTCAAAATGAACCAACGCAGACCAAATCAAAAAAAATTATATACCTAATTTGGTCCAAATGTGTAGGATCCGAAGGACCCGGACTCGAATAAACAATATGTATCCAACCCGGAGATTTGCTGTCCATAATTACTCTCTCTCATTATGTATATTTTATTAGAGTTACATTTATTAATTTAGTGAAACTTAAGATTTAGTTGGCAGATTTTTTGGCTAATTTAAAAGCATAGGTTTATAGGGGTTTTAATAGTTTTTAAACTTATATTAAATAAAAATTTATAAAAATGAATTTAATGTAATATATATAACTATTTTTAACATATGATTTGCTAAAGTGATTTTATAAAT